GTGTAACATCCCAACCTAAAACTCATGTGCTGAACCAATGGCTCACCCGCACAACGGAATCTCTATCGGGGGTTACGATAAAACTCAACTCTTTACCGCTGGTAACACATACCAGCATCGTTTTAATCTAACATCCACAACAATCAATTCTCAAATTACTCATTGTATACCAAATATCAACTTGATCTAGTTCATTTGTTTCATTTAAACCAAAAGAGAGTGTCATTCACTACTATGCTCAATACGGTATCATCCACTACGCATACCCAATCATCAACTCATGTAACATAAATGAGAATCATTTCAAAATTTTGGAAAACTTCAAAACCGATCATCCATCGATCATTGTGCAATACCAGAGTTTCTCTCAATTCTTTCGGGCCTGTAAGAAAAGTGAGTCAGCTACTAAGCTGGTGTGTAGACCTTTCCCACGACCTAGTTTTGGTACCACAATCAGCTAATCATGTAGTGATATTCAATCACAATTCAGTAGTCTAGATATCATCCTAGGTCATCATATATGAATCATAAATCAATATATCAAATCCATCAACTCGTCATCATCGAGCCAATTTAACCAATATGATAATCACATAGTTTCACGAACACACAAATAATGCATAATACAAAAATTTCAATTAATTATTAATGGCACCAAGGCCACCTTACACTTACCCACACTTGAGCAAATCATCATCATCCGTGGTGCTCATGCAACCACAATATGTGCAGAAGCGAGCTAGATATACCCAAACCCATAATCATCTGGGGGTAAAAGTGCAGGCCCTTTCTACGTCTATATGGATTAATATGATCACGAATCAAAAAATTCTCATTTCTCTCATCCATCACAAACGATCCGGCATCAATGCAGTCCCACTGATTAACCGGTCCATGCAACAATCGATCTGAAATCAATGTAGTCCCACTGATTAATCGGTCCGTGCATATCTCACGTTAAACATTTCATCGAATAAAATCAAATTAGGAATCAATGTCTTTCCATTGAGTTCCACGTTCAAATGAATCTCCTATTCCTCGTCTCATCATCGTCTCAATCAATCAAGGAATCAGTGTCGTCCCACTGATTTCCGATCCATATAAATTTCACGGCGGTTATCAACTCCAATAAAACGGTAACTCCAGAAATCTCCCAAAAATACCAGAACATCCATTGATCATCCTAAAATAGGTCTGCCCAGTTCTTATCTTGTTCAACAACTCAAAACCATGAAAAAAATATTACATCCGGTCTTTACCGCAAATCTCGTACTAAGCTCGTTTTTACCATTTTAATGATTATAACTCCACCAACTACCTAATTTATCATTTTAACACTAAAACCAATTTAACGAGCCATTCTAGCCATTTTAAATTCATTAAAATCTTAAAGATAGATAAAAACACGTTTTTACTAATCTTTTCGTAAAATTCACCCTTATGCAGTTTTTAACCCAAAATACATTTACAGGTGCAATATTTTGATCAATCTGCCCCAAAATAAATTTAAGCATACAAAATACCTCTAATTAATTTTAAACTCAATCAACCCAACTATCCATTTTTTCGGTGAAACCTGTCAAATACCGATATTTATACCATAAAATCCATAACACTCAAGAACAACCACCATATCATCATATCAACAAACCAGTCATCATCCACAGTAATTATTCCATCCAAATACACCCGTCAAGCATAAATAATCGATGCAAAAATTAAGGTCATCTTAATCCCCACACACCTTAATTTATCTGATTCCAAGTCGGGAATTAAGTTCTAAAATTCCACCGATTGACTCCTAAAAATACTCCTCGTTCCCAAGGTCCTGTAGGCGCAAAAAGTTTGTCATTTGGAAGTCAAACAAAGAAACTACGAGCCAATTACGATTAGTATAGAAAATTATTGAATGGTACCCTATATTTTCGAACTGTCAGAAACAGTTCCAGAATATGTATATTGTACAATTATACCTACAAACTTTCGAACCTCATTTGAGCTTGGAATTCGATTCCGTCAACTTTGTGATGCTCATGGAGACGAGCTCTACGCATTGGTACCAAGTTTTGGAATTATCGGCGCAATTGATGATGTCGACGCGGACATCGAGATTTATGACAAGCCTCCGAGGAACCTCTTACAACCTTCAAAATTAATTTCTGACTTCATATATGAGTTTTTAGGGGTCCGATTACCTAAACTCGAGCCTTTGACGGTTTATATCACCTAGAGAGAGAAGGCTACGAAGAAAGGAGAATTGAAGGTGGATTTGACCTACCTAAGCCAAGAGGATGTCATATTTCATCTCCAACAATCAATGAATCAACTAGGAAGAAGGAGAATAAAGTTTTCATGGGGTTTTCCTCTTTTCTAGTTGTTGTTCTTTCTCTATCTATGGAGTAGTTTGTCTTTTCACTTGGATGACGTGAACCCTAAAGCAGGCTAGTAGACAGTGGTATATCAAACTTTCTGAGTATTTATCTTAATTGGATTTCAAGCAATCCAATGAGGATTATTCTGTATTTAGGAGTGCAACTGTGATTCTAGTGGTGTATGTTGATGATATAATCTTAGTTTGGTCCATGATTGAAGGATATCCCGTTAGTAAAGCATCAATTGCAGAATGTTTCCACAGTGAAAGATTTGGGTAATTTGAGATACTTTCTTGGTTTAGAGATAGCCAGAACATCTAAGGCATCTCATTGTGTCAAATAAAATGTTGTTTGGAAATGTTGGATAATGTAGGTTTCTTGGAATCCCATCCAAACCTGCTAAGACTCCCATTAGTTAGTTATATCTGTATATAATGGAGTTTATTAAAAGATGACACATAGTTCAGACATTTGCTTGGACAACTTAGGTACTTAATCTCTACAAGGCCAGATATATGATTTGCAGTCCAACAACTATGTCAATTCCAGGATTGTGCAACAATAACTCAATTAAAGGCTCTTCACAGGATACTGAGGTATCCAAAGGGATAATGAGGTATCCAAAGGATGTCTAGGACAAGGATTGTGGTTTTCATTAAGTACAAGACTTCAACTAGGTGGCCACAGTGACTCGCACTAGAACACTTATCCTGATTCCAATAAGTGTGTTACAAGTTATTGTACTTTCCTAGGAAGTTTCCTTATTAATTAGAAGAGTAAAAAGCAAGGAACAATTTCCAGATCCTCCTCAGAGCTTGTACATAGCTTTAGCACAACTGTTGTGTGAGGTAAAATGATTGAAAGCACTTCTTGAATCCTATGGTATCTTATACGCTGATCCAGTTATAGTCTATTTTGATAATCAATCAACAATTTATATTGTTGAGAATCCAATCTTTCACAAAAGGACAAAATATATTAAGGTTGATTGTCATGTCATTCGTGAAAGATCAAAATATGGACTTCTTAATGGAAGAAGAAGCGGGTCAACTTGTGGTCTCGTGGGTCGAGCTTCTTTTCACCTAACCCAACTCGAAAGGCAGTAGATAAATAAGAAAAAAACACCATTAAGCTCTTCATTTTGTACAGTGTAATTACAGAGCAAAGAGTGAAGAGTGCCACTTGTCTTTCTCTTATTAGTTAGTTTTAATTGTCGGTTACTAGTTAGCCATTAGTACAATAACTAGCTTACTCTGTAATTAGCAAGGTTGTCAACTCGCGGGTGACCCGGACCAGGTCGAGTTAGTGGGTCAAGGGTTAATGGGTCAACCGTTTTAGCCCGGTTTGGCCCGGAAATATAGAAAGAGTCATTATATTGCACTTATCCTCATAAATTATATCAAATCTTATCTAACATATGAGTTATAACATATTATGTTACACCAAAATAACATATCGTACTTAGATCCAACATATAGTGAAAATTCACACACACTTATATAACATAAATATTCAAATGTTCAACTTAGTATTCCAAAGATTGAGTTAGGCGAAAAGAAAAATTGGAAAATAGGCGCATTTCGCAAACTAAAGAAAAAAATGACACAATTTGACCTCCAACCCGGTACCTAATAGCGGTCGGCCCGGCGGGTGCGTGCGGCCCGTTTTTCTCACCGAGTCAGGGTCAAATTGGGTCGACCATTGGGTCGACCCTTGGGTCGACCCTTGGGTCAACCCGCGGGTTGACAACCTTGGTAATTAGCTTCTGTACATATGTACACCACCAATGGAAAATGAATATAGCCAATTTCCCAAACTCAACTTCACTCTCTCAAACCCTAGAAGAAACTCCTAGGTCAAGAAAGTACCTCAAATTACCCAAATCCTTCACTTTGGAACCGGTATGCTTTACCCAAATAAGTAGTTAGGCCACAATCTCTATTTTTTATTCAAACCTTTTTCAGATTCTTTTATATTAGTCAAACTTATCAAAAATACTAAGAATTAGTCAAATCTCAAATGATACTGAGTTGACAACATGATACTGACTTGAAAGAGACACATGAAAGTCAACATTCCAAAAGTTTAGTATTCTAATTTTTAACTAGGAAAAGAGTTACAAAATTATTAACGATAACGTAAAAATGACTAATATTTTGATGCATTACGAAATATTTGGCTAATTAATAGCATTTTGATAGGTTTGGATAATATAAAAAAATTTATAAAATGTTTGGATAAAAAATTGACATTACCCTTATATTTACTAGTACAATTTTCTCCTTAATACTTTGTTATCTACCAACCTAACTAGTCGATAAATGATTTTCGTAGTTTGACCGATGTAACGATATGGTAACAATAATCGATAAATTTGCCAATTCAATTGGATTTGAATTAATTGAATCTTTCTAGTAGATAGACATATATCAGCCATTTATGTCCCCAAAGCAAAAGGTTTCTAATGGATGTGTTAAATTGAATCCAAATTTATATATGATGAGGGCGCAAACTCCAAATAGGGCGGACCAGGATTTATATGAAGAGGCAACGGTTGCCTCTTAGAGCAACACAATCTTCACGTTTCCCCACTTGATGATGGACCAGAACAGATTAGATAGATTGGTCATTAGTTTGGATATGGGAAATGTTGGTATTACCTGATCTAAACCACATCCCATGTACAAAAAAGCATGCCCAAGAATCAAGATAAGATGTAACAGTATGGATACATTATGCGTAGCTACGTAACGATAAGGATGAGTTCCTCTGTAGGTTGATTACTACATAAGAAAACTTTGTTTGAAGAAGCCATTAAAACACAAAGCTGAAGGTCGATTACTACAAAGGCATACTGTAGATCTTTGGTTTATAAGTAAACTAGGATGACAGTTTCTGGTGAAACAGGTGTTTTCCACTCTACACTGCAGAAATGAGATCTGCAGTAGAAACTCACTCATTACAAGCATCTGGGTCTAAGTACTAGAGTAAATTTCGCAAGAGTTATTTCAAGAAGTTAAGATCGTGGCTTCTCCTTCTTCTCCTTGAAGAGAGCCAAAAGAGACACACCAGACACTTTGACAACCTTAAACCTCACCCCGGGGATATCTCCGACAGCGTGCCCCTTCCTACCGAACCCAGCAATCAGAACCTCATCCTGGCAATGTGATCAAGCAAATCGCAATTAGGTGGAGAAATGAACTTGGATTCATAATCACAACACAAGAACTGGTTAAATAAACTACAGCTGCTGCTTACATTCTCCTCAATGTAGTTTAAGCAACCATCATTGGGCACAAAAGCGGCAATCTTCTTGCCGTTCTTGATTAGCTGAACTCTGGCGCATTTCCTAATGGCAGAGTTAGGCTGCTTGGCCTCAATCCCACTGTAAGATTCAACATTAACAATCAAACACCATCCGAATTAGTTATCATTATCCAATCAAACAGAACCAAAGATACCCAATATGCAGAAGCAAAAGTTAAAAGAACCATACATCTTCTCCAGAACGATGCCCTTAGCATGAGATGAGCCAGCAAAAGGCTTCTTCCATTCGTTGCCCAGATTGGATTTCTTGTAGGATTTATCAGCCCACCTCTGTCTTCTGCGGTGGGATTTCAACTTGCGACCAGCTCCCATTCCACGAGTCTTCCTGTAAACCAAGCATCCCCAAAACAAAACCAGCGCTCAACATACACATGAACTTATGAAACGAAAAAAAACCATCGGCCAACAAACAGCTGCATTCTGAAGCTTCATAGTGAGGCTTAAAGAATCGAACTTTTTCACGAGGTAACTTTCCCCACTCAAAATTCCTAAAGCCTTAAACCAAGATTCCTTATAAATTCGAGATTTGGGAAATCAACTAACAGTGCGCGAGGCAGTACTACAAACTAACGATATACTCCCCTGGGCAATAAATTCCGATCAAAATTTCCAGCAAACAAGTAAACATCAGTTTGTTCAGTAGATTTTTTAGCTTACCCCATGATGGCGTTGCGAAGAGGATCCTCTGCTGTGACGAAAAGCGACGACGACAGACGGAAAGTGGGGGGGATCGTAGCTTGCGGCGCCGGCAGTTACAGAAAGGGAGAAAGAGAAAACCCTAATTCGAGTTGCTAGCCTTTAAACTGCGGACCTCATGCTATGCGACAGTCTTCGTCTTCGGATAGTCCAGTGTCAGCTAATTTTGGGTCGCGGCCCCTACCGTTTCAGCTCTGGCTCGGATACTAATGGCCCATAATTTCTGGGGCGGACAAGCCCAATAACTCTGCATGTGCTCTATCGTTCTGCTGCATGCAATTCTTCCGTGCAGACTAGGAGTTAAGTAGTATTTATTAATTAAATTTTTATTAAATTAAATTTTAGAAAGTTACATATACATATTAATTGAATTTTTCACTATTTTAAGTAGCTCTCTCTTCTTTTTCTCACTTCAATAGCCCTCTAGTCATTTGTGTCCTCTTTTCGGTTCAACTTCTCGATTCTTCTTTGTCTCCATTAAGACAAACCAGCACCAACTTCTCGATTTCCAATTACTTAACCTAGAAGGAGTAAAGATTAATAAAATCCTTTGAGAATTAGGGTTATGTCATGTGCGGATTTGCTTTACTTGTTTAAGTTTTTGTTTTCTTTCTTAGTTTTGGATTTAGATTTTGATTCGGGCTCAATTACACATGTTTTCACCTCATATTCTTGTGATGTTTGAGGTGTATTCATCGCTTGGGGTTCAATTTTACGCTAGGTTGTGCATATTTTTAGCAGGTTTTAGGTCTTAGCCGGTGAAATTGATCTCAGGAGCGAAAGCCGAACAAAAGAGAGCGAGAATGGAGCAAAATGGACAAAATGGGAGAAGTCGCCCCTGAGGAGCATTATCACGGCGCGGGAGACCGTGACACTTGGGCCCAGACTGTGAAATTGACGGGATCCAGGAGCTTTTGCATGCCTCGTGGGCAAATAGAAGTTCACGAGCAGGAGAACGGTCAATTTTCGCCCCAATCGTGAAGATTCTAAATGAAACAACGCATTTTTGCTCGCGTTCACGGGCAAGCCTTCGCGATCACGGTCGTGACATTTGATCGTGAGAATCGCCCAATTGGAGTATAAAAGGAGGAGTGAGCTTAAACAAAAGAGGACTTCTAGAGTGAGATTGGCTTCTTCTTAAGATAGATAGAGAAAGTCACGAACCAAAGGAGGAAGAAGGAGTTCTTAATCTACCCAAGACTTGAAGAGTGAAGATTTCTCCTCCAAGGAGGCAATCCAAGAAACTAAGGGTGAAGAGAAGCTATTTACCATGGGTTTTCTCTTCTTCTTTGTTGTATTCTTCTTCTTAGTCATGGAGTGGTTCTCCAATTTACTTGTGTGTTATGAACCCTAGCCTAGAAATGTGATAGGTTGTATGGATTGAATGTTATGTGTGTGGGTTTGTGTTTAATACAATCTTTGAGGTAATTTTTTAGAATTCTTGAGTGTTGTTCTTCATATCGCATAATTAGGTAAAGTTGACCTAGGTGGAGGAAATCCCCTTTTGGGCCTTAAGAAGTTAGATTTCTTTACCACTTGGGTAACCCCACCACGGTAATTGAGGGCAAGCCTCAAACATCGACTTAGTGCCATGAACCTACCATGGTTGGTTGTTATTTCACCGTCCAGACTAGTTTCTGAGGGAGTGGTCTTAGCAACCCTTAGTCGATTAGTCAAGAGAGCTAGTTTCCTAGCTTAATTCGATAGTCCTTGACTAATAGTCTAAGAGAGTGGAGTTTCTCCACTATTTGCAACCTCCTCACAGTTTATGAACACACCTTTTCACACTAGCATTCCAATCGGTTGACCTTGACACAAGGATAGGGGGAGCAATACCCGGTTGAAGCCTTCTCATATTGAAACGACCTTAATTTACTTTTTTGCTTATTGACAACTGTAGCTCTTCAGCTTTTAACTCCAAATCGTTTGTTGGATAACAAGTTAAATGATTGAGGTAGGAGTACATGGAGCGCCTCGGATTGACAATTAAAATGATTGCCCTATACTGCACTCTTCTAGAGTTTTCACTTGGGCTTTAGTCAGGATTTAGTTGTGTAGTTAGGAACGAGTCAAGTTTTTTGGTGTCGTTGCCGGGGAAGTTTACGGTCCATTATTCAAAAAAAGTTGTTCAGCGTTAAGTGTTAATCTAGCTTTTTAATTTTTGCATTGTTGAGTGTGAGTCTTGCTTTTCTTGGCTCGAGTTGTGTTTTGTGAAGTGTGTGCAAGAGGTGCATAACCTAGAGTGATGCGAGACCTTTGGCGCCACTAGACGAGAACATCAATTGGAATCTCCGGCTCTTGACTCCAGAGAGGGAGTTGAGGGAAGCAAGGGAAAGATTGGTTGATCCCGAAGGAGAAGTCAAAGTAGAGGAGGAAGTTGAATTGGAAGAAGAGGTTGAAGTTGAGAACGTTGAGATGGCAGAAGAGAACGTCGAAGTAGGAGATGAACGATTAGAACCATGCAATTCATACCCACCAAGACCTCCAAACCATATACATTCAATTATAAGCATGCAACACACAACAACACATCATCTTTTTATCATTTGACCTTCATCTTAGTCCATTAGAACTCATTCTTAACTAAGGCATGGTCATTTACTACTAATTACACTACAAACTAATCTAAAAATAAGATTCAAACATGCAAGTACTTTATTTAAAGATAAGCAAGGTTGTCAAACCGGTTTATACCGTTGTGACGGTTTGGCAAGTGAAATGGTACAACCGGTGGTATAACCAGTTTGTGTCGGTTCATGCCGGTTTAAAAAAATGTGAAAAAATTAATTTTCAATGTATTTAATCATTTATAAAACATATTTGTGGAAAATTTAGTTACAATCCAACAGATATTATCAACTTTTAAAAATTAAATTCATCAAATGAATAATAAATTAATTTTGTTATTAATTAAATTCATTAAAATTATGTCAGTTTACTTAGAATGCGTAAGTCAATCATACCGGTTTCATGACCGGTACAAGTTCAACTGGGTGGCATGCCAGCGGCATGACAACCATAGATAAGGAAAATAAAATGCAAACTAATGTTTGGGTGCCTCCTAACTAGCATGTCTTTTAGGTCGTTTCACCGGACCGTTGTCTTCAAGTACTCAGTTCAGCTCAAGACCTCCTTGATGTTGAGGTTCTCATCGGTGAGGTGGTGTCTCAAGCATCGAGCTTTGGATGCTTCAAATGATGTGAATGACCTTCCTTGAAACGGCTGTTGATGGTGTGGCCTTGGCTTGGCAAAGAGAATTCACCAAGAGGGACTGTTGATGGCGTGGCCTTGGCTTGGCAAAGAGAATTCGCAAAAGTATCCTTCTCTAAAACTGTATCAAGGTCGAATGGAAAGCTTTGGTAGCACATATAACTTGTAGAAGCTTCATCCATCCCTTCCTTGTCCATTGATCAAAATCTGATTGCGTCTTCAACCTCCTCTCCCTCTTGTGAAGAATCGTGTCGGGTACCAAGCTCTCCTCTTCTTCACTTTCTCCTTCCTTCCTCACAACCTGATCAATGTGACTCGCTGTTACTGTCACTCTAAAAAATGGCCAAGTGTAACCACTTCCTAAAGCGTAGTATAGCGGGTTTGGGTTTTATTGTCAACCCGGGTCCTAGATGTGATGACTACTCAGTGAATTCGTATTATCTAGCAATGAAACTTTAGTGAAGATCTAAACTAACAAGCAAGCAAAGTAACTAAACGGTTGGTTTCAGGTTAAGAGAGGTCACCCGGATATGGTTCCCCCTAGTCTGCAGTTAAGCCGGATTGTAATTGCCAAGTTCGATTTCTATGAAAGTTATACTGCGGAAGGCTCTCAAACAGTCTGAAGTCTCGACTAAAGGTCTTCAGACCCTCTCAATCTGAATCTCTAGCGGGCGACTAACCTCCACCGGAGTAAACAGATTGAGGCCCTAAGAACAAAACCTCCACTACCGGAGTAAAACCGGTACAGAATAGTGAGTTGGTTCCTCGACTAAAGTCACCAACTCCCTACCTTCAATCATGGATGCTCTATCAACCTAGTCAGATATTCTCATTCTAGGTTAAAGCAGAAACAACATGAATTTGATCAGGATTCATGCCATTCAATCATTCAAACCTCAATCGAATATAATCAATTCATAGAAACAATACTTGGGTTCATACAATCAAACCTAACATACAGAACTAGGGTTTCCCACACCCAGATGAATGGGAGAACTACTCCATGGAGAGAGAAGCAAAAGCAGAATCAGATGCGGAAATCATACTGTGAAGATGGATTTCTGCTCCTGGACGTTGAATCGGCACTTCTCCAAGCTCAAACCAAGCTCCAATGGTGTTGAAGATCGATCTAGGGCGCTTGGAGACTCTTGTTCGTCGCTTTCTCTCTCTAGGAATCGCTCTCTCTCTCTCAAAACTCGAATCCCCTTCTCTTTGGCTGAAAATCTGCCTAAAAGGGCATCATTGGCCAAAGCACGGTCGAGGGCACGGCCGTGCTTTGCCTCAGCCCGCGCGTGTTTTTTAGGTGGTTCAAGCCACACTTGCAAAGTCTCGGCCATAAAAGCACGGGCAGGAACACGGCCGTGTTCTGAGGCCTCCTGCCCGTGTTTTGGCCCTGGCTTGTCCAAACGCCTTCCAAACGATCCGAAACTCGTGCTTGGCCTTCCCTTTGACGCCTGGGACCTGAAATAGGACAAAGTAGCACAACCCGGCGTAAAATAGGCCAAAACACACAACCATGCTCCGCAAATGAATAAGAAATAGGGGTATAAAATCATGTAATTACATCGTTATCACAATGCTTCCTTCTTTAGTTTCCTCTTCTTGATGATTAGGAGCAACGATGGCTTTACAAGCAAGTTCTTCAATAGATCTTCAAGTTCCACTTGCTTGTCCACCCTTGAGACACCTTCCTCTTCTACCGCTACCTCTTTTGTTTCATTCTTGATTACAAAGAGGCGCTCTTCGCTGAGTCTCGAGCAAAGTTGCTCAATAACTCTTCCATTCTCCTCTATCCTCTTGAGCATCTCTTCTTGTTCTTTGAGGAAGTCTTGAGTAGAAGGGTCGGGACTTCTGTCCCTACGGTCCCCACCTCTTGTAGCCAACTTTCCTCCCGTTTAACATCTTTAATCTAGAAGCAACCCGGAGGAAGGTTGGGATT